TGAAGAGGTATGTCATAGCCTTCAGGCTGTACAGAATCTGTTCCATTTTCTGAATTGAAGAAATTGCTTCCCAGCCCAGCAGGAACGGGATATCATCAAATAGTATAATTTCTTGTTAGAACTTTTATCTCAATGTTTTCAACAGAAGTATGAACGTAATGCAATTCCCTTCCGTGAGGCCGTCCACTTTCTTGACTAGACGCTCTACCGTCCTTTTGAAGGGGTCCACTATTCTGCTAATCCCAATTAAATTGGACGAATTTCCACATTAGAAGGCATACTTACTCTGTAGTGATAGGATTTCTCTGTGCCTTTTCCCGAATGCAACAAACTATATGTTCAGGTATTTCACCCTTCCAATCCACGCGTAACGACGAACCCTTCCCCTAAGTGGGTACGCCCGACTGTAACAGCAGAAGGATCATCGCTGAATAACCGTTTTGCCATGCAATTTCAAAGAAGACTTTCCCTTACAATATCAGCTCCTTACTTCTAGCCCCGCGGCTGCTTCTACATATGATAGCACCACCACGGCCTTTGAAGGGATCTCAGCGCGTCCACTCGTTTTCACCGAACAGCAACTGAACTTATAGAGGCGAGCTGTCGGTCTTTCTCAGGCAGTACCACTGCTTCTGTTTAATTGGTAGGTATAGCGTTGGTTCCATGAAGTGTTCTTGTTCGGCCGCTCCCCTTTAATCAAACTGCCCATGGAGGGGGAGCGGGTGTGGGGAGGGGGGTGGACAGATTGATGGTCAACCTTACAGTAAATGTTCACCTGCAAACAAACATAGATCCACGAACAAATAACATTGTAAAAATCAGTTCAAATTTTTTCAAAAATTCGGGCTTCAACTCTAATATCCTCGTTACAGTATCCCGAACTGAAGAGCATGCAGGGAATGATTGACAGCATCATCGCGGTGTCAAAGACTGCTCACGAAATGAAAGTGCTGGTGAAGCAATGGTGCTAGTTGACGCCCCGCCGACAAGTCGATATCAATCATTGTCAATCGATTCCGATATCGTGCATTGTGTGGTGCGTATAATGCGTGTAGATGATGTTAGCGATGTCGATGATGATGATTTTCAGCGTCTAGTTTGATTTATTCACATGAACGGACTTCTCAGCCAGATTGAGAAGTCCGCATGTGGATTGAAGAGACTCTAGTCCGTTCGCTACGCTTTATGATACTCAAATGACGACACGTTTGCTATGTTCCTTAGAAAGAATGCACATATCTTCCCAATGTTTAATCTTGTTCACCATTTTACTATCGCTAAATGACCAGCCAATGTTCTGGCTTTGATTTACAATCTGACCGAAAACGCGCCATCCACCCCGGTGTCCTCCCTTTGCTCCCGTTTCTTCTCCGTCCGTTGTTGCCTTTGAAACTTGCTCACCCCTCCAAACGTGTGCGTGTGTCTGTTGTAGAATATGTAAATAAAATATAACTATTTTGCTTAGCTATTTTTTGTTTTCTTTTTTTTTTGGAATCGAGGTTTAATAAATCTAGAAGTGGTTGCTGCATTTGTAAATGATTGGCAAGTTGAAAGCAGAATACATATCTGAATATGGCTGGTGTTGGAAAATCTAAGGAAAATTCTTGAAGTGATATGGAACCCTGCTACAGTGTCCCTGTGTGGGCCAACCTTGCCCAGCGTTGGGATATGCGGGACTCGGCATTGGACCCGTAGTAAAAAGGGCTGGGAATCGAGTTTTTGGTATTGGTCGGTTCTACTTTGAGAAGCGCCCCCACATTCGTCTCCCCCTCAGGGTTAGGGTAATCTAAATGCAAAATAACGAACAATAAGTAATGAATTGTATCTGCCAAGTGCAGTTTAGTATTTTCCAGACGCTCGGACAATTTGGGTACCAACTAACGGTTCCCTTGAGGGGTTAAAGGCTTGTTTAGCCTCAACCGGCATCGATTCATGATTTGATCCTAGGGTAGTATCTGTGTCTATTGGTGCCCGATTCATTCGCTGATCTTTATTTTGCTATTTTAGGTTAGGTATTATTGAACTTTGTACGAGAATCCGACTTCTATTTCTTTTCAAAACATAGGATCTAACTCTACTTCCCTGCGCTTCGACTGAGATCCACTTCATAGAGCCGAATTCATAATGATGTTTCAATTCAACGGTACGTTCATCACGACTTTCGTTTTCTTCCCAATTCATATCTATCAGCCCACATGATTTCGACCAAAAAGGGATTGCTACATACTAATTTTCCCCTAGGCTTTCCCTTGAACGAATAGGCATGGTCAGGGGGACCCATGGCAGCCTCAGAATTTGATCCATTGATCGCGGTGAGGGCTGTGCTCGCTTGCCACTCCATCTGTTTCTATCCCAGTTCGGTTTCTATCCCACAATGTACTTCTACCCATCGTACTTGTTAGTCCACAAAGGGCCTACTGCCAATGCATTATTGATTACACATTGATCAGAGTAATGAAGTCGCTGACATGAGTATAAACCTGAGGCCTGAATCACAAATGTATTTACAAATATACAGTCACAACGCGGCTAACAATTGCGAAGTTATTTCTTCCCTCGGCTTCAAGCTCCTCGAATCCGTGAAGAATCAGGTATCTACGATTCTGTCATCATCAGGCATTAACTGTACCAAACGTTCATCATTGGACTTCCGGAGATATGAACGCAGTCATCTCCTTTCATCTCTTCGAGTGCCACCAATTTAAATACTTTATTTAATAAGATCACACTTCCACCTTTTCTATTCCTCGTACGCTGCTGACGCTGAACTGAGCATTCAGAACCCGTTGCTGAAATTGAAAGCGGAATTCGGAGTTGTCTGTAACCATACTAGCTTTCTTTGAGAAAATTGAATGCTTTGGAAACCAACATGAGGTGTCGTTCGAAACCCTCCATGTCCACGATTGAGACGTTCCGCAGCTGGGCTAGGCTTTGGCACCTGCAGTAATGACTTATTAAGGAGACTACTTGGACACCCTTATTCATGCTACTGTTCAGCATTTTTTTTCCGCCTGGGTTACGCCGTCAGAATTACAAGTTCTATAGTTACGAGTAATGCTTTAGTAGAAGCTTCAAATTTAAGTAGCTTGTTCAGTTGTCGAAACCATTTCAAGAGAATTTCTCTTCAAAAGAAGAAGAGTAAAGTACTGAGCCGTTGGCGGATGCAGCGCCAACTCAAAACTGCGGCGCAGATGCCGCGCGATTCGCCCTTGATCGCGTAGGCGGCGCGGCTCTCACCAGCGCTCTAGCGCATGATAGTTTCGCCCGCCTCCCAACGCTCATCTAACTTGTGATAGTAAGTGCAACAATTAGAATAGTGCTAATCTTCGGGCAAGACATTGGGCGTTGACTGAGGCTGGCATCCGACCCTACGGACCTCATTACAATAATGTTCAGAGCAGTTGCTTTTTGGGATTTCTCAGATTTTTTTCCCGAACCGGAATCCCATTCCTGCAGAGCAGGATACAGACTTCATAACTGAGCGCGCTTTGTTTTCTGGCCCCAAGCTAATAACAAACGAAACCGACTTCGCCGTCGCCATACTCGGCGAGATATTCCTTCTGATGGTAGATGGTCAGATAGGCTACGGCTGCGTTCTGTAATTTGTTCATATGGCACTCATGAGCCGTCAGAAACCACTCGAGCAGCACGTCCATCTTTTCGTAGTGCTGGAAGAGTAATAATGAATTACTTGTTCCTACTAAGCCTCACTGGGAAGTGCAGAAAGGCTTTCATTCCACCGCCCGTGAGGATTCCACTGTCTACTACAAGAACGGTGAGGATCTCACCTCGATCACATTCAAATAGCCGAGTCGTTCGACTGCCACCATCAGGCTGCTCAACAGCATTACGTCGAATCTGCATCGATTTAGCTAACAACGGTAGCGGAAGATCCTTCAAGCTTACCTATTAGCGAGATTATAGATGTCTTTGACAATGACCGGTGACACATCCTGAGGAGCTGCGAACGTTGAAGTCACCATGTAGGTTACCACCTAAGAGTCACCATGTACTGTTTGGTATGGTAATCAAGATAAAAGTGAAAACGTAACTGTTCTGGCAGCATCGATTGCCGAGTCGACGAATTCTACTTTGTCAGCCTCTCGGCCGGCCCCATTGAAGAATTCACGGAAGTAGGGAGAGCAGAGGTAGAGCGCTTCTTTGGATGTGAACATTTGCCCGTCACGGCATACTATCAGGAAGTTGTGGCAGGACCTGAATGAAGAGGTCTCCTGCATAACAATTCTCCTCTACCAAATGTTGATTTTGAGCTGTAACTACACTGGCAGGGTTCTCGATGACAACGTGAGTGGGGCAGGGCGAAAATATCCGTTCCACCCAGGCTCTTGCCACGGCCCGCCTCATCCTCCCCTTTAGTAGTCGTATACCAGGAACGCTTTGCCCCTCATCCACCTCAGGATGACATCTTCTTCCGAAGCTCCAAAACTTGTCATCAGATCCGAATCTACCTTCTAGCTGCGATACAGGAAGCTATTTGAAGCGTTTCGATAATTGGCAAAAGCGGTTGTTACAGTTTATACCTGGGAAATTAAAATCTGAAAAAATTACTTGTCATCGAGCAGGCGAAACCGCCAGTCCAGGTGGAGTGGCATGGGAGGTGCCATCATTTCCCATTCGGAGATAATGAACTGAGCAGGAGAAATCGACATCGTTGTAGTGATTTCACATACTCGCCCTTAAAAAGGCATATAAGAGCTAACGTATTCGCATGCTATTCTATCTACGCTCGAAAAGTGGTACCTGCGAAAGAAGTAACTTGGTAGAGCTGTATCAGGGTTGAACCGATTGCTGACGTATGGGGGACTTTGAACCCTTGAGATCGTTCATTGACAGCCGGAACAACGGTACATGGCTCAGGTGACAATAACTCTGAAGATCTTTGAATAGGGGTTACAAAGGTGTTGTTCTTGTCACTGAGAGAGAATCGGAACCACCTTCTCCTGTCTGTCGATCTCGTACTTTCATTTGAAACGTGCACTTGGTTGCTTCGGCAATATGTTCCCTGAACATGGCAGGGCGAAGGCGAAGCTGTAAACAAATTCGGTTCCGGAGGAACGACCCCTATTCTTCTTTGGGTCAGTGGGGACTAGTAGGGACGCTTGTTGGTTTACCTCAGTTGAGTGGAGGAACAGTAAGCTTTCGCCTTCCGAAATTTAGTGGAATCGAGACCCGAAAACACCCACCTGTATTTGTCTGTTTCTTAGACCAGCCTGTCGAAATGCTCCGAATGTGTCGGGTCCTACTCGAATTTCCCTGAAGTACCATCGAGTTGCTATACCAAGGACATGCAATTTTTCAACTCTCATAGCCTTAGGAGGGGAGGAGTTCGGAGTGGGCAATTTACAGCTTTTCGCACAAAGTGATCATATCGCCCATCTACCTTTCTAAGGCTTAATTTAAAGGGACTACATTTCCCTAGCTAAAACCGCAAAACAACACACAGATGGCCAGTAGTTGAAAACGTCCATTACGCGCGTCCGTCCAAACCAGGTCACCTGGCCCATTTCACGCGCGGCGCAGCCCGCTGCGAGATGGCATTACCGTACCACTAAGTGTAGTGTGGAGCAAATGATTTGCATCGGCCCGTGTTATCTTCTCTTCAAGTTGACTGCCATGGAACAAGTGCAAAACATATGCCACACTAGCAACTGCGACGTCCGTCAAGGGTCGCGAGCTGACGCGCCGCGTGCGACGGCTGTGACGTCATCTAATTCCGATGGACGCCCGGAGCGAAGGGCACCCGCCGGTGCCCATCTTCCTCTTCGCCTCTGATAAGTGCTGGTTTAACAAGGATTAACCCGTAGCACCGTGTTAGCTTCGTGTTATACTAACACTGTTATGAGCGTCATGCAGCATCTACCATGAGCATGTATCCTGTCAAGTATGTTTGGGGTATAGGTAGGTCAACGCTATCCCCATTGTTACCTCGCTGTAATTGGGTCCTGGCGTGACGCAAAGTCCACGATTAAAGAGAAAGGGTTATTTCACGATTTCTGGGGAAGGCGTTATTTCTCTACCTGAGCTCCCACGGCAAACGGTAGGTGTTTTGCGGCGATTTTCGCACCCTTCCCCCGAATGGGTGTGTTCGTGTGTTTGGTGTGTTTCACTCCGCGCGTTCGTCGAAACTAGGACGCGCCGCAACCGTCGCACGCGGCGCGGCAGCTCACGATCCTTGGTAGACGTTGCAGTTGACAGTGGGGCACACGATTGATCCACGGCAGTCAGCATAAGGAGGAGGTAATACGGACCGATGCACATTATTCGCTCCACCTCGAGTGGTAGTGAACTGCGCCGCGCACGAACTGAGCGGAGTGACCTAGTTTCGGCGGACGCGCGGAACGGACGTTCCCTCCACTGAGCAGGAATTCATTTTTGGATAAACATGCCTCGTGTAAAACTAAAGGTCTTCGATCAACCTACGACCTCTACACCCACAACCTCTACTAGTCCTACGTTACACGAAATCCAGAATTCCTGAAGTTGAAAAATCTTACCAGTCGTGAATTACTGGGCCATGAATCGTGGAG